GATAAAGATCAAGATAGAGGACATTCTCAAGACAGCATTCAGAATCAGGTACAGACACAATGAGTTCCTGGTAATGCCATTTGAATTAATCAATACACCAACTATTTTTATCGACTTGATGAACAAGATTTTCAAATAATTCCTGAATTAGTTCCTCATTGGAGTTATCGATGATATCTTAGTCTATTCAAAGAGGAAAGAGGAACATGTTCACCATGTGACTCAAGTTTTGCAGGTTATCATGAATAAAAAATTATATACAAAATTGAGCAAGTGTGAGTTTTGGCTCGAGTAGACCACTTTTTTAAGGCATATCATATCAAGGGATGGAGTATTATGAACCCAAAAAAATTGAAACAGTGCTTGTTTGAGAAAAATTGACATTGGTTAAGGAGATTCGTAACTTTCTAGGAATAACAGGTTATTACCGCAAGTTTGTGGAAAATTTTTCTAATCTAGCTGCTCATTTGACCCAACTCACAAAGAAAAGCGTTAAATTTGATTGGAACAAGGATTGCGAAAGGAGCTTTACGAAACTCAAGAAGTGGTTGACTACTGCATATGTGTTGGCTTTCCGAGTGGGACATGTGAATACACAGTGTATAGTGATGCCTCCTACCTAGAGTTGGGTCGTGTTCTGATGCAGTATGAGAATATGATAACTTATGGGTCCAGATAGTTGAAGAATCATGAGAAACATTACCCTACCCATAACTTAGAATTTGCTGCCATTATCTACGTTGTTAAGATCTAGCGCCACTACCTGTATGATGAGACTTTTGAGATTTATATTAACCATAAGATTTTGAAGCATATATTCACTTAGAAATATCTCAAATATGAGTCAAAGACATTGGATAGAGCTCCTTAAGGACTGCGATTGTAATATTTTATATCACCCAGGTAAAGGTAATGTGGTAGCTGATGCACTCAGTAGAAAAAGTGCAGGTATGTTGGCTCACATAATGGTTTCTGAATGCAGGGCAATAGAAGTTGCACAACAAATACGACTTCAGGACTTGAAGATAATTGCATGTTTGACCCACCTAACTATCCAACCCAAAATGATCCAGAAAATAAAGGAAGCTCAATCCACCGATTCCACCCTATAAGCTATCAAGAAGGATGCAGAATGGATAGTAAATCTAGAATTCTGAGTTTGCCGGTAGGTTTCTCAAATTTAAAAAAAGAGTGTGTATTTTAGGTGATAGTGAACTGAAAAGAGACTTCATGATAGAGGTTTATATCTCAAAGTTCGTCATACATCCCAAAAGTACTAAAATGTATCATAGTGTGTGTCCTCAATTTTGGTGGAGCGAGAAGAAAAAAGAGATGGTCAACTTTGTTTCCAAGTGTCTAGTATATCAACAGGTTAAGACAGAGCATCAATGCCCAGACGGGCTACTTCAGCCATTTCCCATCCCATAGTGGATGTGAGAATATATCATAATAGACTACGTGATAGGGTTGCCTAAGGCACGCTCAAAACATGATGCTATCTGGGTAATTATCAATCGGCTCACCAAGTCTTCTCACTTCTTGGTTATCAAGATGACTGACCCATTGGACAAGTTAGCAAGAATATATATCCGAGAGATCGTTAGGTTACATGGAGTTTTAATGACAGTGGCATTTGATAGAGACCCCAGGTTCACTTCTTGATTTTGGTCTAGTTTTCAGTAAGTCATGGACACGAAACTATTCCTTAGCACCGTATTCCACCCTCAAATCGATGGATAATCAGAGAGGACAATTCATACCCTAGAAAATATGCTCTGAGCTTGTGTGCTAGACTTTAGGGGTCATTGGGATGATCATCTACCTTTGATAGAGTTTGTCTACAATAATAGCTATCAAATAAACATATTTCCTTCATCAATGTCATATGGCAGAACCATACGTAGAAAGAGGCCACTTAGAAACTTGAATCAAGCTTTAGAGTCCAGTACCTCCAACTGTTCGAGTGAGTGAGGGAGTGACCAATTTGAGATATCAAATTTTCTTAAATGGGAGAATTGTAATACTCGAACGTGAAAATTGGCCCGAGATAATTTTTTTATTAATTAATTTATAAAATAATTATATTAAAATAATAATTAATTTATTATATTTTAATTTTATTGAATTTTGAAAAAAATGAATTATGGACGAAATTGAAAACAAATTTGGGGAAAATGGGTGAAATTTTAAATTTGGGGAGTGTTTTTGAAAAACAAAATTAGAAACAAGGGGTCAAAATACAAATAGAAGAAATTCGGCCACATGGGACAGTCTAGTCAGCAGCCACGACGAACCAGAGCTTGTTGCGTGGCAAAACACACTGATGTCGGAGCCACGTAAGGGGCCACATAAGCAATCGACGTGCCCAGCAATCCGACAACTTAGGATTGAACTCGCGCGCGTGGACGGCCCAAATGTATTCTCCTTTTAGGCTTCATCAGACAGACGAGATCAGATATAATGAACGGACAAGATTCGACTGCACCATAAGCAAAAACGTGAAACGATTGATCGGTTCTCCTCACTCCATGTCAATATAAACGAACGACACAAATCAAAGAGGAAAAGAGTATTTAAACCTCTCTTCGCAAGGGAACCCAAACCCTAACTGCCAACTCTCGCCAGAGAAGAAGAATCAGACGTTAAAAAAGAAGGTCGATTGTCGACCGGACTCGCACCGAAGCCATTATCGACCACCAAAAAAGATAAAAAATTTTCATACCCACTCGAAATTTGATTTCGAGCCTCCCTGTGGCCATATCGGAGTAAGAGAGACGACAGGTAAGCTGAAAACTGCGGGTAAAGCCCAGCAGAGCCGCCGCGGCCAAAACTCAAATCCCTCTGATGAGCCACTTCCTGTTTCCTATTTCACGCAATTTTTTGACCTTTGTGTTCATCGTTCCTTTCTATGTAGGTTAGCCGGAGAAGAATCCCCAATCACGAAGGAGAACCGGCGGAGCCGCCGCACTAGGAGACCCCCCTACCGGTAGGTTCAGTGTTTTGGTTTTTCTGGTCAATCGAGACTTCCTAACGTATTTTTGCGGGGATGCATATAGAACTGGCTAAAACCGATCAAAATCAGCTAGGCTGAGGTAAACCACCGCCGTGGATGGAGGATTCGACGTTGGAGCACGGCGGCGCTACCGTGCTATAACTTTAAAATTTGTTTGAAAGGGTATTCAACATCGATTTTGAGTCTTTTTTTGGTATTTTTAGGTACATGATGAGTATTTTGGATTTCAACAGAAAAAATTCAAGAAACCTGAGACCTGTTGGGAGGCGTAGTGGACAGTTTGACATTTCGAATCACCGATTCAGGTAAAGATCCTTCACTCTATTCTCGGTTATGGTAAATTGAGAATTAATAATCGATAATTTTGTATTTTGTAAAAATTTAGAAAACCTTAAAAACATTACAAGTCATTAGTGGAACTGGAACTAGTTAGTTTACATTTGTCCTGATTTCCTGTTTATTTTATGTACTGCCTAAATTGCTTACTATTGTACTATGCATGTTTATATTGATAGTTTTTATGATTTTCTCGATTATCTTATTTATTTAGTCCATTCCTGCTTGATTTATCTAATTATCTGGTTAATTGATTATTAGTTATGATAAATTAAATCACTTGCTTAAATATCGTTTAAATTGATCAGTGAATATGACATGGGACGTTGGTATACTTTGGTGACTGTTCATAGAATCTAAATAAATAAAAGCTTACTGAACATTACATCAGTTGGACAAGATTGAGAAGTCCTATACCATAAAGGTTTTGAGAGATTTAGTTTACTCTCACACTGGACGGAATATCGAGACGATGATGTTTTTGGCGCCCATTACCAGACGGAGTATGGGGACAACGAAATTAATTGTCAATTCTTGATACTAGGTCCACGAGTGAAAAGATATCCCTATAGACCCCAGGGATCCCAGTAAGTAGGTCAAAAAAAGGAAGAATTGTGATCCTATGGATAAATTAAAATGTTATTTAGTTATTTGTCTTCCTATGTTGATTTTGGAGAAACCGTAACAGAATGTATCAAATAAAAAATTTTAAAGTTAAATGTACTTACTTAAAGTAAGAGTTATATTAGTTGTTTTTTGATTTTTACTAACCTTCAATTTTTCGTATCCGTAATTAATGTAATATTTTTACTGGGTTAGCTCACATTTTCATTAACCATTTCAGATTAAGAAAACCAAGATTGAGATCCTAATAAGCAAAAGAATTATGAGTAGTTCACTTTTTGGACTCTTTTCAAGTGATAGTGAAAGTTGTCATAAAATATTTATTTATTTACTTTTTTTTTAATTACCGTTTATCGTTTAGAAATGACATACCCGTAGTTCTATTGGGAAATCAAAATTATTGTGTAAGAAATGTAAAACCTAACTTTATTATTCGCTTATACTTTTAAATTATAAATTCATTTCTTTTAAGGTCTCAGACCTTTATAAAAGTTATGAAAAATAAATATTATCTAAATACATAGATACGTATATATTAGTAATTCAATTGTTATTAAATATGTATTATATTTCATGAATTGATATCATAATAACTATATAAAAGACTTTCGAAGAAAAAAACTACATAATTAAAGAGAATGCAAAATTTGATTTTTTTAATTAATAAAAAAAAGATATTTTTAAATAATATCTCACCAGACAATGTAAATAAAAGAAATATAAATAAAAAAATAGTAAATAAAAAATAAATATGTATTTTAACAAGTGTAAACTTTTTTTTTAATATGCATCAAAATATTTGGAAAATACATATAGAAAATATATTTGAAGAGTGATATAGAAAAAAAAAAGAAAA